AAAAACCTCTCTGAATAAAGTATAAAAAATTTTTAGAAAAGCACAAAAAGAATAATTCAGAAATCAAAGCCTTTAAATTGACTGAGAAGTACAGATTTTGAGTTCCCCCAGAAAAACCAACACTGTCCTTTGACTGTGTTTTTTGGGTTTTTTTTTGGTGGGGGGAGGTAATTAGGTTTATTTATTGATTTGCTTTTGAACAGAGGTACTGGGAATTGAACCCAGGACCTCATGCATGCTACGCATGTACTCTACCACTGAGCTACACCCTCCCCACTCTTTCAACTATTTTTAAGTTTAGCCCTTGAAAATGCTTATTATTGGTTGTGGGAACTGGAGCTGACTGGCTGGCTTAGCATTCTAACACAAGTTCTGGACAATTAATTTGCAATGGATTTGTGGCAGCATATTTCCAAATAAAGACCAATGCTTTTAATCTTAAACAGAGCACATGTTTGAGCTGGTGGCCTACTTGCCCTCCGTACCTGGTGTTGAATGAGATTTATACGATCTAGTAGGTCATTCAGTTTTATATCCTGCTCAGCCACTGTCTTCTGAAGCTGCTTCTTTTCCTTTTCTGAGTTTTCAACCTTCCTCAAGGCCTCATAGAGTTCTGATGTCAGCTCTTCTATCCGTTTCCTAAAGCAAAATGGCAAAGCAGGAGGATGGACTTCAGGTCTGTGTCAGTGGACTGTGGGCTGGCCGCACAGGGCTTGCTCCCCTATTCCTGGGCAGCTGCCCACAGTGTCCTGACTGGCTCACGAGGGACAGACCCTCTACCTGGAGGTGAACCTGTGGTACCTGCTGGGTGCGAGTTCCTCTCCAGCCATCAAGGAATCCTTCTGCAGCTTCTGAAGTTCTCTCTGGAGTTCCTGGATGGTCTCTGTCTTCTGCTTCTCCAGGCTAAGGCAGCTTTGCAGTTTCCTCTGTGTATCCTCCAGGTTATTCTTTGCCAGAAGGGCCTCTTCTTTATATTGGGCTGCTTGCTGAGCTGCAGAAGGCAGGAGATAACCCTGGGTGTGGGTATGTTCACGTGTGAACGCAGTACGCGTGAAGTCCAGATTCTCAACTAAGATGAGTTAAAAAGTCTCTTTCTTCATTTTGTGACCTACTTCAGTTTCCAATCTGTCCTCATCTCTCTATTTCATTATCACTCCTAAGGAGCTCTATTAAATTATCCGTCTTCTATTACCCACCAGCCATGAACACCTTCTTGATTAAAATTAAACAAATCAGTAGAAATTTCTCGGTGTCTCTTATGTGACAAATCCTGACTCTCATGGAGTTTAGAGTCTAGTGATGGAGCTATAACTGGTTCATCCCACATAGGAACACGGTAGTGTTAAACTCACACTGACTGTGAACTCGGGAAGCAAGATCAACATGGTTAAGTACAGGGTTGGGAGGTGGACTTATGAAGAAACAGAAGCTAAACTGGGCCTTAGAAGGAGGAGGAGGAAGGGAATTCTCAGGGCTGGGGTATTAGAGTAAATGCACAGTGAAGGGAATGCAAAGGCATGTGGGAAGAGGATGGGAAGAGACCAGTTTAATTGGAAAGGAAAGTGGGGAGGAAGAGTGGAAGACAGAGTTGGGAAAGCACACGGACTAGAGTGGGCTTTGGAGGATGTTGAAAGCCTGAGAGAAATGCTTAGATGTGATTTCGTGGGTTCTTGAGCAGGCAGCTGGCATAAAGGAAAGAGTGCGTTAGGAAAAGTGGAATGGATTAGAATGGAGAAAGACTTCTTACAATGTCTTTTTAGCCTACATCCTTGCCTCCACCACTGGATATGAAGGAAAAAACACTCAATTGCTTACTGGAGTTTCTCTACACCATAAATCTCACGTCCTATAGTTTCTACTATCGTTTCTACTTTAAACATCACTCTCCTTTCCATTTTTTTCCCAGCCTGGGATACTGGAAGAAAGATGGTGTCACTACGGGAATAATTATACACCTGGAAGAAAGGAGAAGGATTTTTTTTTTAATAGGGAAGAGAATAGGTTCAGCTTTGGGAATGCTGAGCTAGTGGGCATGGTGGGTTGCCCAGGTAGAGCTAGTCTCTAAGGACAAGATTAACAACTGGTGCCAAGTCAGGGCTGGGGCTCTCAGCTTTGGAGTCTCCTGCAGAGAAATGCAGCTACAGGGAGCAGAGGTGCGAACCAAGAATGATTGTAGAGGGGGAGGAGAAAGGGGAAGGGCAGAGTCTTAGGGAGGGATGACCACAGTCAGGGCAGGAGAGCAAAGAGGAAACAATGGTGAGATCTGTGGAAGAACAAGGGACCTGTTATATCTCCAAAGATAAGAAACAACCTTTGAGGTGTGGGGGGCCAACAGAATGGACACAGTTATTGGAGGGCGAGGAAGGAAGACATGCTTTGGACCATCTTTTTTTTCCCCAAATTGATACATCATTCACATAACATAAAATTTATCCTTTTAAAGTATACAGGGCAGTGGTTTCTGGTATACTCACACAGCTGTCCAACCATCAGTATCTAATTCCAGGACATTTTCATCACCCCAAAAGCAACCCGAAGGCAAGAAGTTATTGGTGACCTGTGAGAAAGCACTTTCCGCAGAGGGGCAAGGACACAGCCCACATTGCAAGCTGCGCAGAAGAGGTGGTGTTTGGAGGCCAAAAAAGGAGAGAGAGGGTTAAAAACCAGGGAAGGAAGAAGTGAATGGCGTGACAGAGGTCCTGGAGAAGGTGGGGAGGACTGTGGTGCAAAGAAGCCAGGTCCAGAGCCCTGTCCTCCCCGTGGCGAGGGGCTTTGGGGAGGAGGGGTGGAGGGGAGGTTAGGGTGAGAGGAGGAGCTTGCAAGGTGGTCCCCACTACTATGAGATGAAATGAGATCACGACGAGGTGGGAGTGTGGAGAGGGAGAGGGACATGGCTGTTTGGAGAGACGAGGGGGCAGCTCTGGCCCCGTGGGTTGGAAGCGAGTGGGGACAGCGCTGGCTGAGGCCTCACCAGCCAGCTTCTGCTGATGTTTGGCATCTTCCAGACTGTCCTTCAGCTTCTGAATCTCAGCTCGCAGCGGCCCACACTCCGCCATGCACTTATCCTGCCTCGCCTCCTGGATGGCGATTTCGAGTTCATTTGTCATGCGTTGCTGTTTCTCTAGCTCCATCTCCTTTTTTACAAGGCTGTTCTGAACCTGTGCCAGTTCCTTCTCCAGCTCATGCAGCATTTCGTCTTTCTCTTGGAGGAGCTGAGGAAAGCAAAGTGTTAATGCTGATAAAGACCTGAGAAGCAGCAGGGCGAAGTCAGAGATTGTCTTGAGCCCTCCTCCAGCCGTCATCTACTCTTGCCTTGCCGGGATACTGCAACGGCCTCCACCTGGGCTCCCTGCCTCCCTCAGGCTATTCTCAATGCTGCAGCCAGAGACGGGCTTCTACAAATCCAAGTGAGATCTTGTTATGCTTCTGTTAAAACCCTCCACTGGGTGCATCTCACTTAGGAAAAGGCCAAAGTCCTTACAACGACCGCCCAGGATGCTCATGATCTGGTCCTAGGCTACCTGTCCCGTCTCACCCCTTGCCATCCCACCCCTGCTTCAGCTGTCCCCTGAAACACTCTGAGCAGACTTCCACCTGAGGGCTCTTGCCTCTGCCTGGAATATTCTTCAAGACCTTGGACTGCGTGGCCCCCTTACTTCATTCAAATCTCTGCCCAAATATCTCCTTATCAAAGAGGCCTTCCCTGACCATTTTGGGTAAAATAGCCACCAAGATGTTTTAGGAATTTATCAGTACAGAACATTTTATTATATATTAGGTTTGTTACCTGTTTGTCATCTGACTCTACAGACTAGAATGTAAGCTCCATGAAGGTAGAGAAGTTGCATGCTTTATCATATTCTTAATGCCTAGAAGATATGCTTGGCATATCATAGGAGCTCAGAAATATTTGTTGAATGAATACATGAGTGACTCAGAGCTGCTTATCCACACTCCTTGCTTCTTGTCGCCATCTCTCCAAAGACCTCCCTTTTGACTGGTAGATCACCTCCAGATCTTGAAACTGGAGGTTTGAATGACTAGCCAGTCAATCAATTGGATTACATCTACTAGCTCTGATGAAAGTTTAGAGTTGGAACAGTGCTGACTACAAAATCGTTCACTGGTTTCAGAGCCTTTCTGCCCTTGGTTCCATTCTTAGGCTTTTCTAGGAGTTCAATTTAGGTTGGAAACTACAGATCTTCTAGGACACAGCTCCACTAATATTTTCAAACTACCTGATACGCATGTTCATAGGATATTTGTAATTAAAAAATTGAAATTCACTTGTAATTCTTAATAAGGCTACACATTATTTTATAGCTTTTCTTTCTACTATCAGGCATAAACAGGAGCATAAGGCAACAATGCAAATGTGCCCCAAACTCTCTACCTTGTGGGGCTGGGGAAGAACCTTTTTCTTACAGAGTTCACATCCCTACTAAGGCCCCTGACATTGATTTACTTGTGTGCTATGAGAAGTTCCAAGGAAATGCTCAGAGCTGCTTCTGGGCCTGAAGGACCGCAGTCTCACTGCACACGCACGGGCGCTCCCCAAGCAGTCGCGGTGGGCGCAGAACTGCAGGCCCCACTGCGGCTGAGGCCAGGCCCCACCCCGGCCCTGCGGGCGCTTCCAGGGCGGCCCTTGCCTTACCTTGTCTTTCTTCAAACCAAGCTTTTGGGTCTCAGTGAACTGCATCTGCAGCTCCTGCAGCCGCCGTTGCAGGATGGTGACCTCCTTCTCCTTCCTCTCCAAGTGGGCGGAAGTCTCCTCACGCAGCCCGTGCAGGTCCAGCTCCAGCTTCATCATGTCTATGGTGGGATGAGCCAGAGCGCTTCTCGCTCAGGGGAGGGCTCTGGCTTCCCTGGCTCCCCCGCCACAGCCCACCGGCCCACCTTTTACCCTTCATGATGTTCTTCTTCTGTTCTGACACTGCTTCTAGCTCCATGCGCAAATCCTTCACGAGGTTCTGGTACTCCTCTACGTGCAGGCACTGGCTGTCTTTCTGCTCTTGCAAGTGCTTCAGTATCTGGGCAGAGGGAAGAAGAGCAGGGCAGGGTGAGTACCTGGGGGAGGGTCCCCTATTCTCCAATGCTGAGGGTCCAGAACAGGCAAATCAGAGGGATGTACAGTAGAGTGGTAGTTGCCCGGGGTTGGGGGAGGGAGGATGGACAGTGACTACTTATGGATACGGATTTTTTCTCAGAGTGATGAAAATGTCCTGGAGTTAGTGGTGATGTTGTCCAGCTTTGTGAATGTGCTAAAAACCACTGACTGTATACTTTAAGTGGTGAGTGTCATGGTATGTCAATTATATCTCAATTTAGAAAAATAGAATTAAAAAGAAAAGATATGACAGGCTTCTCATGCTCACGTGGGACGGAATGTGTACAAAAGGAGCCACCCCTTCCTCCCTGCTACAGTCAGTGTCATTGATGAAGCACTTACTGTGTGCAATGCACTGTCCTGGGTGCTGTAATCAACACACACACACACACACACACACAATCCTTGCCCCCAGGGAGCTGACCTTCTGGTGGGGTGAGACAAAGAACATAAAGCAGTGACTCACAGGAAACATTAAGCATTGTTAAGTGCTACAGAAGAAACAGAATATTAAAAGGGAATGAAGGTCTAGGGGCTAGGGGTGCAGGTGTGAGGTTGCAAGTTTAAATAGGATGGATGAGTTGGCCTCACTGAGGAGGTGGCCTCTGAGCAGGGACTTGCTGGAGGTTAGGGCATGAGCCATGTTGAGGTAGGAGCTTTGCAGATGGCGGGGACTAGCTGGTGATAAGGCCCTGGGTGGAGAACATGGAGGAGGCCCTGTGGTTAGAGTGGAGTGAGTGATGGGGAGAGTAGGAGGAGAGGAGATGAGGTCGTTGTGGGCAGGCATATCACGTGGCGTTCTCAGTCACTCAGCAAGAACTTTGGCTTCTGCCCAGAAGAAGAGGGGAAGGGGCTGTAACCAGAAGAACATGGATGTGGGGCCGAGGAGGAGTAATCCATTGACTGGGCATCAAGGGACATAGTTATGTGATTTCAGAGTTGACAGGAAGGGTAGGCTGCAGCAGGAAGACAGAGGGAGACAGCTGGGGAAACACAGGGCAATCACCATATGACCAGGGGGTGGGCCCTGCAGGGACTCAAAGGCCTACTCTGTGCCAGGCCAGCTGCGGGAGGAGGGGACTGCTGGCACTAACTGTGATGAGGTGGGGTTCTAGTCCTAACAGAATATTCACCTAACATGAAGGCTTTGGATAGGATATATAAAATGGTGGGGGTTAAGTGGATTCTGTTTCTTAGGAAGTCTGTACCATTTAAAACAATGGAGTGTTAAGAATTTCTGTTTACTGGGTAGAGTTTCAGTTTTGCAAGATGAAAAAGTTTTAGAGATTTGTTGCACAACAGTGCAAATATACTTAATACAACCAACTGTACACTTAAAAGTGATTAAGATGGTCAATTTAATGTTATCTATTTTTAACCACTATAAAAAATGAAAAAGTAAGGGAGAAATAAAGACATTTTTCAGATTAAAAAACCATGAAGTATGTGAGCTGTTGCTGTAGGTCAGCATGTGAATAACATAGAACTGACCTTTAAAATAAATACTGACAGATGTCCAAGGAGAAACTCCAAAGTTTATCCAAACTTGGTGGGATCAGAAAGTCCTGGAAAAAGAAGCGTCTCTGCCCCCCTGGCTAACGGATCCCTCAGATAGCTGATACGTGTTGACTCTCTCTGCCACTCCCCTTTGCCACTACTTCAGCATCAGCCTGGCCTGCTTTGCCTTGTACCTCAAGTTCAGGCATGACTGACGTTAAGACCTTGTCTAGAAGGGAACCTAACCTAGTTCTGACTATGTTGTGATTTGCTTACAAGATTTAAATGCTTATTCATTATTAGAATTGACTTTTTAGATGGCTTTGAAGTTTGAAACGTAAGAGTTTTTTTTTTTTAAGGAGTGAATTTGAATTAATAATCTTCCCTAAATTTGTTGTGTTTCAACTCCAGCTGGAAACTAGAAGGCTGGATGGTCCTTTTGAATCTAGCATGCCAACAGGAGTCTCTGTCTTGTTTAGGAGTACCATTGGACACCTTAACCCATTATAAGGTTGCAATTCCAAAATTCAGTTCTGAAATCTAATGCTGCCAGACACACTCTTTGGGGGCTTGTCATACATTATATATAGTATCCTCATGGCAGGATCAACCAAGGTCACAAAAATATAAAGTAGAATATAAAATATAGTAATAAAAACTTTTAAAAAAAAGGAGGAAAACCTAGAATCTAACCCAACTTGGCCCAATCCCACCAGGCGCAAATAAGCAGAAGTTCTCCTACCTTTTTGATGTCTTCACAGTCTTCTGAGGAGCTAGGGGGATGTCGGTGGGTGGCTGTATAGGAAGCAAAGTCTGCTTGTAATTTTATCAAAGCCTCTTCACGCTCCAGAACCTGCAACCGAGCACAGGACAGTTATGCTGGATGATCTATGCAATTATTACTAGTACTTTTTTTTTTAAGTATAGTCGGTTTACAGTGTTGTGTTAATTTCTGGTATACAGCATAGTGTTTCTTTAGTTATACATATATATATTCCTTTTCATTATAGGTTATTACAAGGTATTAAATATAGTTCCCTCTGCTATACAGCAGGACCTTGTTTAACTAATACTATTTTTTGCAATGTACCCTTTTTTCAGCCTAAGTTTGTTGCAGCAGCATTGTCTAATTCAACACACACTTCCTGGTAAGGAGAAGGAATTATGTCCTCAATCTTATATTAAGGTTCATTAAAGCACACACAGTGATTTGTCTTGAGTCCATCAGTGGCTACATTTTGGACTCTCTTCTCAACCTTTGTGTGGTCCAGTTTATGAGGCATAAGAAACTTCTTTGGAGTCTGTGATGGGAGGATGTACTGAATCTCTCAGAAGACAGGATGAAGTTCAAGAACTAAGGAAGTTTCTTATGGACTGGGTGAATGTGTGTTTGTTTGGTTTTTTTTTGAAAATTAGAAAAACATAAAACTTTTGTTCTTGTTTGCTGAAAATAATTAAAAAAAACCCCAAACATTGAAAATAAGAAGTTAGAACATGAACAGAAGGCAGGAGCAGGTGTGTATGAGACACTTGAGGAATACCGATAAAGAGATTACTGTAGGTGACTTTTTTTCTCCTCCTCTTTTTCCTCAGAGCTTTATTTTGCATCTCTTGGAAAAATATTCTTGGAGACACTTACCAAAGCATTACTGCAGGCTAGCTTATTTCGAAGTTCCTGTATTAGATCATCCTGCTCAGAGACCTTTTGCCAGACTTCAGATAGTCGTTTCAGGGTCTCCTGATGCTCTTGAATCATGCAAGGAGAAGTGTATATACGCACTTTTGAATGATCACCCTTGTTCTCGGGCTCCTGGGATATGTAAAAATAATAGGTTGGTTTTGTTCACAATTTTTGAGTTAATTTCAGAATGCTGTGAACATGGAAAATCTCTAGACCTATATTGTAAAGGTTAATGCTCATTTATGTGAATCAGAGCTTCCTTAACAAAAGAAAAAATTTAACAAGTGCACACACATGGTGAAAAGTTTAAACAGTTCACAAGAGAATATACTGAAAACTCAATCTTGACCTTCCACAATTCAAGTCCCCTTTTCCATGACAGTCTGCGTTATCAATTTTTTGTATATCCTTCTGGGGATAATTTATGCATATTTATACATGCATATATGTATCTGTATATAACCCCCTACTTTTTTCCCTACACAAATGAAAGTCTTCTGCATACTATTCTAAATATCGTGTTTTCACTTGGCAATTTGTTTAGGATATTTTCGAATTGTTACTTGTAGATATATCATTCTTTTTTAAAAATTAATTTCAAATTACACAAGTAATACATATATATATATATTATCTTTCTAAAACTTTGTAACATTACAGGCAAGTCTAAATTTCTCTTTGACCACTACCTCTAATCTCATACTCACTGCATTCTCCAGAGATGACAGTTTGTGCATATCCTTCTAGAAAAATGAATATTGTACAATATATTATTTTGTTTTTTTAAAACATAATTTTTTTTCTCACTCAACAAGATGTCTTAGAAATTCATCCGTGTGTTTCTATCTGGCTCTTTTAAATTACTTTTAAATGTGTTTATCCAGTCTCCTACTGATGGGAATATATGTTGTTTCCAAGTTTTTTCTAAAACAAAGCTGAAATGATTATTTTTGCACATCAAATTTTAAGTACCTATTCTAGTATATGTGTAGATTAAATTTGTAGAAGTAGGAATGCTAGGATTGATTTAAAACTTTGATAGATATTGCACAATTGTCCTTCAAAGAGAATGTACCAATTGACACTCTCATCAACATTAATATGCCTGTTTTCCTAAAACTGTGTTTTTTTTTTTTTTATGTCTTTCTCTAGATCATCTGAAATCATGCATGAAGGTTACTACCTGTTCACTGGTCTGCACTAATAGTGAGTGAACTGATGCAGACAGGCAAAAAAAGAGCAAAATGTCCTAGTTTGGATGGTAGATCCTTTCTCCATTAAACTGTCTCCCTAACTGGGCTTTTTCAGGCAAAGTTAGAAATAGCTCATGTTCACTGAGCATGAAAGCTGCCCGTGAGTGTATAAATAATTTAGTGTATATGTGGATAAAGGAATGGAAAACAATAAAAATGCTAAGAAACAGGAAGACGGTATCTACAGGTTCCAATATCTTCTTAATACTACAAGAAGGAAAATAGGAGTTAATTTAAAAGTAATGGAAGGAAGATTCCCAGAATTGAAGAAAAATGTAGATCTTCAGATTCAAAGGGTCAGTTAAGTGTTGAGAGACTTAATGAAAAATGAATTAAAAAAAATCCTGAGCCTAGGCGTGGCGGGTATAGCTCAAGTAGCAGAGTGCATGCTTAGCAGGTATGAAGTCCTGGGTTCAATCCCCCATAGCTCCTCTAAAAAATAAAATCAATAAACCTAATTCCCACCCCCACCCCCACCAAATCTTGAGCCTAAAAACCTCCAGAGTTCAAAGAGACAGAACAAGTGACTTACAAAAAAAAATGAGAAACAGATTGAAATTTTAACGACTCCTCTTTAATACTGCACGGTAATAGACAATGCAGCAATATTTTCGAAGACTTAAAGGTTCTTTGGTGAGTTTGTATATGCAGTCAAACTAGCATTCAAGAATGATGGCAAAATAAACCTTGTTCAGACAGAAATTTTGAGAAATGTTACCATTCACTATTGTTTACGGAAGAAATAACAAGGAATTATTACAGCAAAAGGTAAAGTCCAAGAATGTAGAAGAGGTGGAGTATACTACTGAGTAGTGAGCAAAAGTTGGCTTTATTTGTGATCTTAAAGAAATAAACATTTTGTATGTTATATAAACAGCTTGAGAGATTATAGAAAAGATGAAAAGCTCTCAAATTCATTTATAGTAGGGTAGCATAATACAGACACCAATGAGATGAGAACACAAAAATTCAAGCCATCAAACTAATCTCATTTCTGAAAATAGATATAAAAAATTAAATGTTAATAAATTTAGAATAGCCATTTATATTATAAATTAGTATAGCAAATTCAGTAAAGCAGTTTATTATAATATAATGATATATATTATAATAATATGTATTAAGTAGGATTTATTCCAGGAATGTAAGAATTGACTATTAATGAAAATCTATTAATGTAATGCACTTCATTAAAGAAAAAACCCTCTATGGTTACCTTGATAGATGCTAACAAAATCATCTGATAAAATTCAATATTTATTCCTGACAAAAATTCTTGACAAGCTACATACAGATAGTCACATATTCAACTTAAAAAAGGATATTAACAAGAAGCCAAGAACAGACATTATACTTAATAGTGAAATACTAGAAACATTTTTAAAAAATGAGGAACAAGACAAGGATGCCCTGATTTTATACTGTTCAAAAGGTCCTGGTCAATGTGGTAAGATGGAAAATAGACTGTATAAATGCCAAAAAGGAAAATAATTTTAAAAAATCCAAGACAGTTGACTAAAGATCTGATAACAGAGCTCAATAAAGTGGAAGGAAAAGAGTTTTTCTCTACATCACTAACAATTATTAAAATTAAAGGTACAAAAGATCTTATTCATAAAACCAGTAACAACTGTAATATGTCTAGGAATAAACTTAGCAGGAGATCTGTGAGATCTATAAAGAAAAGGGTATAATCTTACTGAAAGGACACATAAGAAAACTTGAATAAAAGTAGAAGCCTGTCATATTTCATAAGGTATGCTAATTCCCTCCAAATAAATAAATAATTTGAAAGTAAGTCAACATGAATCTAAAGTTCACCAAGAAAAGATGTACAAAAATGGCCAAGAAATATTTGAAAGTATGGAACAGTGTAGGAGGACCTGCTCTAAAAAGAGCTATCAAAACATACTCCCAGTTAAAGTCAGTATGAAAAACTGATCTTGGTGCAGGAGCTGGCAAGTAGATCAAAAGAACAGAAAATCCAAAAAGTGAATAAGTACATATACTGAGTTGGTGCTTCGACTCAATGCGGAAAGGATGGGGTGCTCCGAAAGTGGAGTTGGGACACCTGGAGATCCATTTTGATGAATATAAAATTATAGCCTTTTCTCATTATGTATATAGGAAACATGAATGTATGTGTGTGTGTGTGTGTTTATTTTCCAGGTGGACTAAAGATAAAAACATAAAAATACAAAATCATAAAAGTGCTAAAAGAAAATATAAGATAAACCTTTGCAATCTTGGGGGTAGTGAAGGCCTTCCTAAACAAGAATAAAACCTAGACTCTAAAAAGGAGGACTGAGAGATTTAACTCTGGAAAAGTTAAAAATTTCTGTATGTTGAAAAATACCATTCATAAGGTAAAATGGAAAAGATACAAACTGGGAGAAAATATTTGTAACTTATATAATGAAGCATTATCACCTGTAGTATATTATGAACTGCCTATAAGTCAAAACAAAAAATACTAACAACCAACAAAAAATAGGTTAAGGGTTTAAACAATTAACTCATAAAACAGAAATCCACAGGATCAATACAATGGTGAACTCAGTACTTCATTCACAAGGTGGGCGCTATGATGTGCCTCCCAGATCCCCTTCAGCACCGAAGGACTTACTCCCCCAGCTGCTGGGAGTGCTGCTCTAAGATAGCCCTCAGCTGTCAGCCGTTTTTGGGGACAGCCTGAGCTGAAGAAAACTTTTGCCCAAGGTCATGCCTCTCCTTAGGGACAGCTCCCATCTAATCACTGATCAACATGGAGGTATAAAGGCCTTAATTTAGACTTGCTGTAAAGGTCCTTCCAGCCCCAGAGCTCCTCATGGAGTTGGCTGAGGCCTTTGCTGGGACTATCATAGCTCAACTTCTCCCTCCGCCCAATCCTGCTTCCCTCCACTTCCTTTCACAGGTGTGATGCCAGGAGCTCTCTAAAAATGTCCTGTATGCCAGTCTTTCTCAGAGTCAGCTTCCTGAGGAATCCATCTCACAACTATTAGAACTAAAGGAAATGAAAATTGTAATGAGAAAACCTGTCCCCACCCCTGCTCCATCCATCAGTTTAGCACAACATAAAGACTGAAAACATATCATGGGAATGTCGGAAAATTATTGTTGGTAAAAGTGTAAACTGGTAGCATCTTATATTAATTAAGGAGCCTTAAAATTCCTCAGGAGCAATCTTACAGGAGATGTGAAGGCTGGAAGTTCATAGCTGAGGGCTACAAAATTCAAGGGAAGGAATGACACTGGTTGAAGGTTTGGGTTTTTGGCAGAGAGGCTGGGGCTGTTACAGAATCACCTGGGAGCTCCTGGCCTGAGTGGTTTAAGTCCTACCTGACCGACGATCCCGCTGAGCTCCCCCTCCAACATCTTTACTTGGCACTCCAGTAACTCGATGTTGCTCAGGGAAGTCTGGTATTTATCCCTGTAGAGGTTTAAGCTCCTTTCTAGGGAGACGATCTTGTCCCCAGCTAAGGCGAGTTGCTCCTGTGCCAGATGGAGCTTTTCCCCTGTGTCCTCATTATGATTTCCCATTTCTTCCTCATAGAGAATCACCTGTTGGTATAGGAATGAAACCACACTGAACCCATGGAAACATCTAATGGGGAAAGGATATGGCTATAAGACCCTATGCAGAGGAGTCATATCTTAACTAGAAACCCAGATGCAAAGTGTAGGCCCAGCACAGATCTAAAAGCTATCATATATAAAATCAGAATGTTAATGATTAGAAATTAAAAAAAAAAAAAGACTGTCCTGTTTAGGTGGTAAGCTTCTTAAAGGCGGGGACCATTTCTAGTTCCTATTCTGCTTGTAATGTAGTTAAGAACTTGATAAAGCCTTGTTAGTTGATTAATAGGAATGAATTTGTACAGCTCCATTTTTTAAGGGCCTGAAATGCCAGTATTCTTTCTTTCCTAGGTGTTCTCCAGTGGTCTAATTTAGGCAATGCGGAGCCCCTCGTGCACACAGGTCCATGTCAGCAAAGTTCCCTAGAGTTAGTGGGGGAAGTGACCTGAAGTTCCTCTGGGATTTGCACCATCTTTCTTTAGATTCCTTTTCTTCCTAATCAATTAATTGGTCAGCCAAAGGACAGATATTTATTGAGTGCTCACGAGCCATATCTTTGGTGCTTAGGGATATATATGTCTATTAAACATAGGCTCCTTATAATTTGGGGGAGATACGATTTAAAATTAATAAGCAACTGTTGAGTGTGCTCAATTGTATGGCTTGAATTATATATATTGAAGGAGTTAAGAGCAGGAGGGTCATCAAAGAAGAATTCATGTGGGTTCAAACAGTTCAGTAGAATTCAGATAGAACACATTCCATTGGTCTAAGCTAATATATTTGCTGCCTGCCATTAGAGATTTGTCTCAGGAAAAGATCTTTTAGTTTGAAGTGTTTATTTGGTAAGGAAAATAGGAAAGGAATATTTTATATTCAAATGTTTATAACAGAAGCTGTCAGTGAGGCCTGCTCATGTCCCCTTGGCACTCACCATTCCTCTGAGTGCTAAACACATTCCAACCACAAGCATCTTCAGTTCTTTGCCTGAGGGATGCTCTGGCCCCAGGAGTCCACTCAAGCAGAGGAGAAAGACAAGGCAGGTGACAAGTACTAGGGTGTTCATACCCCCAGGTGCAGCCCTCAACCAATGATTGGGGTGGTTGGCTGGGATTACTCTGAGGTGTGTTCTACACTATCTCCCAGAGTTTTCCAGAGGGACTGAACCCCAGTTTCCCACAGCAGTGATCATCTTAATATTGATTTTCCTTATGGGTTTCCTGCCCTTGTTTGATTCACTTCCTACTCTCTCACCATGCTTCCTAGGATCACCTCTTGATTAACTTGTCTTAGGGTCTGCTGTTGGAAAACCCAACCATAGATTGAAGCTTGATGCTTCTGTGTAACAAAGTATTGGGAGGAACTTGGCAGAATGCCTAAAGTAATTTTTCCAGTGCTTTCCCAGTTTGGGTTCTGTGTCAGTGACGGCTACTTGCCAAATCACACAACAATTCTTTCCCTCCTCCTTGTAATAGAATCTTGACTTTATTTGGGACAGTAGTGCACCTCACTAAAACACTTCATTACTTTGCCTTCCTAAGAAATAGCTGTAGCCATGTGACTAATGCTGGCCAATGGTATGTAAGTGAAAGTGTTGTGTGGGACTTCTGGAAATTGTCCTTAAAAAGGAGAAGTGTGCCTTTCTCTCCCCACCCCACTTCCCACCCTGATCCTGATTATTTGGAACAAAGATGTGATGGTTGGAGCTCCAGTAGCCTCTTAGGTGGCCAAAAAGTGGAAGCCTTGAGCTGATGATGGTGGAGCTGAAAGATAGGACCCTAGGTACCTGATAACACATGCAGTTACCCTCAAAGTCCTAGACCACCTCTCTCTGACCTTCTTCTATATGTCAGAGAAATAAACTGTCTTATTTGAGACACTATTACTTTGGGGTTTTCTGTTTTATGGAGCCAAATAGAATCCCAACTAATTCAGAGTCACTTTATACAGGCTGGACTTGTCTAAATTATGATGAACCTGCCAGTTTTAATACAATCCTTTCATTAGCTTTATTAAACCATGAGTTTCCCTCCCAATCCTTTTCAAAGCAAATTCCTATTGGTCATAATATTTCCTTAAAAAAATTACATGTTTTTAAGTCCCCTCATAAAGCCCCTGGAGTTAGCTCTTAAGTAATGGCATCATTCAAGACAGTCCTTGGAATTTTATCTTTAAAGGCAGAGGAAGAAAATGCCAGAGGAGGCTGCCCATCCCATTTCTTAGAACCCATGGTCTTACGACTGCTACTGCTACCATCGTCCAGCTGATTGTGGTTCTGTAGCACTGGTCTTTGGAATTTACTTGGGATTCCACGAGGATGACACTCTCTGATTTAAAAAATACTACGCTGGGACATGAATAGAAATGAATGTCCAGAATGTACTTAAGGTAAGTCTGTTTGATCTAAAATTTCCAGTCTGAAGAAAATGACTGATCTGGTACTCTCAGTGATTGACTCAGACTCAACATCTGATTATCTTATCAACTGTGCAAGTGCCAGGAATTTATATATTATCAAAATCTGATTTTTCTAAAATTGGTTGATTTAAAGGAACTTACACCTCTTTCACAACCCGCAGAGACCCAGCGTTGTTTGCATTTAAATTGCAGTGGTAATAAACGGAGGTTATGAACCTACACACACACCACACACACGTACGCATGTACCACATACCCGACATGCATCAATACTGGATCTCTCACCCAATTATGACATTCTGTTTACTTCCCTCCATCCAGCTTCCAAAAAAATCAAGAATTAAAGAGGGGAAGTTAATAACACCTGCTCAAGATGTTGTGAAGCTCTCCTCTGTTAAGTCTAATGTTTGCTTTCTATTAAGCTTGGCCTGATTTCTGTAGGTACACTGGGCATATGGGACATCTTCATAATTACTCTGTCTATACCTCATCTTCTTTCATTTTGCAGTGATGGTGGAGAATAACCAGGTCGGAAGTCTGCTTCTCCAGGACGGACTCATACTGCAGGAGGGAACAGTAAGAGGTCTGTAACTCTTCCGTGCGGAACTCCAGTTCTTGCTGAAGGGCCAGCAACTTTTTCTTGAGTTGCTGGAGTTGTCTCAGATGACACTGTTTACTAGGTTCAAATTCCATGTGTGACTTCTCGAATGCTAATGCTTGCTTCTTATTCTGCAACTGAGATAGAATATACAGCTTTAGATTGTCACTGAGCATGCATTCATTCTTCGATTTTTTTCATTTGTTCAACCATTCACATCCATCTATCCATCCTTTTATCTTTTCATCTCCAGAGCACTTCTTCAACATTTTACTCTATTTCACATGGAAACGTCACTTTGTATTTTCACTCTGTAGGAAGGATTTAGAAGAAGGAAAAAATCATAGTTTCTTCCTACTATTTAGATTTACCACTCATTATTTAGGTCCGAAGAAAAAACATACACATAAAGGACCTAGAGAATAGTATAAAGATAAACGTGATAATATGCTTATGTTTTGTCTTCACATATTAAGATAATACAATTGACCTAGAAGGGAAATGGATTTCTGGTTATAGTTCTTGGACTAAACTTGATTATTAAAAATGCCCAGATAAAAGGACAAACTCTTGGCAAAACAGCTTTCCGGAATGCTGGGAAACAGGAGGCAGAGATATTGTTCAGGCACATTTGGGTATTGACTTTGTCTCCTCCTGACAGAAGATGTGACCTTGCAGATGCTGAGAGAGAGTGTGTGTGTGTGTGTGTGTGTGTGTGTGAGAGAGAGAGAGAGAGAGAGAGGGAAAGAGATAGAGAAAGAGAAAGAAAGAGGGAGAGAGATCTCCTGGCCAGTTTGAAATGCTGCTAGACCCAACCTACATTTTCATTTATTCATTCAAAAAACATAGGTTGAGGACGTACATTGTATCAGGTATTCTGCTGATAGGACACATCCCTGAGTTGTTTATTCTAGTACAATTGAGGTCTTTGCACTGTTGCTTCTATATTTTCTTGCCCATCATTCCTGGTGACGTATAAGAGAAAGGCAGATGAAGAGGGTGGCCTGTAGGCATTCCTTAGCTCCCATCTCTGCTTATTATCCTCCTATTCATACTTTAAAACTCTGTCCAAATCCTGCTCTCCTTCCTGTTTTCCCTGCAAAGCTGTCTTTGCACCAATACCAGACTTTACATGTCTTTAATGTGGCATTTCACCTCCCGCCTTGCATTGAAATGATCTCTGTGTGTCTTATCTTTTAATTCGATTATAAACTCCTGAAGGACAGCGGCCATGTCTACTCCTATAGGGCCTAGATTAGATTCATGCACAGCCAGGTATTGAACGAAAGGAGGAGATAAAATAGAGAATAAGCAATCCTGTTGGCTCCCAAGAATTTGAGCTCATGGCCTTGGCTTCATTAAGAGAGTACTTCCAAACTTTTTAAAAATTGACTTTTTTTTTAACAGTTTTATTGAGGTATTCTTTATCTATCATAAAATTCAACTGTTCTAAGTGTACAACTTAGTGATTTGTAGCAAATTTATAGAGTTGTGCAACCGTTATTACAATCCAGTTTTAGAACATTTCCATCACCTCAGAAAATTCCCCCATGCCCATTTGTCACTCCCATTCCTACCCCAGCTCCAGGCAACCACTAATCTGCTTTATGCCTCTACAGATTTTCCCTTTCTAGACATTTCATATAAATGGAATTGTACAATATGTCATCTTTTGTGTCTGGCTTCTTTCACTTAGCATAATGCTTTTCAAGGTTCATCCAGGCTATAGTGAGAATCAGTATTCTGTTCATTTTCACTGCTAACAGTATGAATACATCCTATTTTGTTTATCTGTCCACCAGTTGATGGATGTTTGGATTGTTTCAGTTTCTGGCTATAGTGAATAATGCTGCTATGGACATTAATATAGTAGCCGTTCTGTGGATATGATATTTTCATTTAATTAATTTGTTCAACAAATATTATGGTTTACCTACTATGTGCCAAGCCTTCTTCTAGGTAATAGGGATACAGAGTGCATAAAACAGAATCCCTGCCTTCATGAAGTGTGCATCTATGGGGGGTGAGGTGGTGGTGGGATGAGTAGGAGGAGAGAGAGACCGAGGGAATGGGGGGAAAGAGGTAGCAAATCAAATAAGTAAACTGTGTAGTAGACTAAAAGGAAAAAGAGCTCTGGAGGAAAGTAAAGCAGGGGAGGGAGATGAGGAATGCCAGGATGGAGGCAGTTATAGTTTTGAATTAAGTGTTTTCATGGAGCACCCCATTGAGAAGGTGACATTTGAGTCAACACTTGGAGGAGGCAGGGAAGCAGCCTGGTGGGAATCTACAGCAGGAACACTCCAGCGAGAGGGACCAGCAAGTGCTAAGGCCTGGAGGAGGGAGGCACCTGGGGGTGTTTGAGCGGCCACTTTGTTCCAGGTGGAGCAGAGAGTGAAGGGAAGAGTAGCACCAGGTGAGGTGAGACAAGAACAGGAGGTATAGTCCTTTAGGACCACATAGGCCTTCCTAAAAATTAACTTTCCCTTTCAGGGAGATGAAAGGCCACTGGAGGGTACTGAGCAGAGGAAAGACAGGATCTCCTTTAAATGATACAAAGAACACACTGGCTGTTCTATTGAAAATGAACTGCAGGAAGCCAAAGACAGAAGCAGGGAGACTGGCAAGGAGGCTGTGCAGGAAGCCAGGCAAGAAGGGATGGTGGCATGGACCAAGGTGGAAGCTGGGAGAAGTGGATGGATTTTAGATCTATATTTGAAAGTAGACCCTATAGGATTTGCTTCAGCACTAGATGTGGGATAGTGGGAGATAATGGTCATCCAAGAGCGGACGACTCCATGGTTTTGATCTGAGTAACTGGAGAGATGGAGTTTTAATGAGATAATTCTGTAAGAACTGGGAATGATAGGAGAGAAGATCTTCTCTAGTGAGATTGGGTGAGGCAGCACAGATAAGGTAAGGGAGGCTCAGCCCAGTTCAGGACTAGAAAGACAACAGCTGACTGTGCCGGTTCAACCTGAATGAGAAGATGGACAGAAAATGGACCACTGTGGTTAGCAGGCAAAAGAAGGCCCAGGCAGAGGCAAGCTGAACTCTTGGCCTGAATATCTGGTGTATGTGGCCAGAGAGAAGTTGATGAGACTTCTTTCCTGAGCCAGACAAAGCTGAGTTTTATATTTACTCTGTGTAGCTATTATTGCCAACATTTATAGTAAGTGTTTCTAGCTAAGCGTTTTCATTCTTTCCATGATAAGAATGTTGCTATTCTCATAGCTCATCTGTGAATGAGGTTCAGAGAGAAGGGACTTGGGAGTGGTGTGTGTGTGTGTGTGTGTGTGTGTGTGCGTGTGTGTGTGTGCATGCACACAACATGTATAGGGGAGGGTCTCAAGAACCCAAGTCCTCTGTCTATACAGGTAAACTGAGGGGTGTGGAGCTACTTGGAAAAAGACAGGGTCATGAATAAATACTGAATATGGATAGAACTAAAGCAAACGAGTGAACATCTGTACGGTTATTTCAGAAGGGCTTGTTTTAGGGAAGCAAATACTCATCAAAATCCTTATCAAATTTTGCCCCAATCCTATTTCTCTGGGCTTTGTTGAAGGTGACTTTATAAAACAACGGAACTGGATTCCTGGTCCTTCTAGTGCTTGGGTGTAACTGTGGATTTGGATCTGCCTTTCCACTGCAGGAATGCATGACCCAGTTGACGACTAACTGGTTTCCTCATTGTGTACTCTTTCTTTGCTTCCCTGTATTTCTATGTCCCCACTTCCTATTCATTACTCCAAAGAATGAGAGAAGTTCTCTTCTTTTAAACGAAGCCAAACCTCTTTCCTTAGGGCTTCCCCTCCAAGTACATCATCTGTACTTAGATGCGTTCATAATTATTCTTTGACTTTAAAGCTTCCTGTGGGTAAAGAATGTCTTTTCCTAGTATAAAGCCTAGCAATCTGGCAGTGATACAGGCAAACTGTTAATACTTTTTATTCCTCAGAGGTCATGTTGAACCTCCTGGATTTAATTTTGGTTTGAGGTAACATGATAGACCAACCAGATGATAAGAGCTTGCTCAGATCTATCAGTACAGGGCAAAGGTAGCACCTGACCTAATTTGTCTGGTTATAAAGATCAAAGAACTGCTCATACCTGCCGAGAAACTAGCCTTGGATGAGAATTTTAAACATTTGCACACTATAGATACCTATGGGTTTAGAGGAATCATATTTCAACGACTTGGAGAAATGCCTAGACTTATTTGAGACCTATTAAATTTCTACTTATTTATCCTTAAGTATTCAAAAGGTTATTTTCTTAATTCTAGATGAATAGAAAATGACACGCTATGGATTAAGCCTGCATTTCACTTATATTTGTATCAAAGAGCAGTGTCACAAAGGCATCAATGCATTTCCTACTGCTTCTTTGTCTTTTTTAAAATTTTCTTTACAGTGAAGACATAGGTATTTTATTAGACTCTTCTTTGACCTTTAAACTGAGATCTGGAGAAAATGAGCAAGTTGGAAGTAATCTTATGGAAGTAAGATTAATTCTTAAAATGACCATCCAGTGTCGGACATGATTCTAGAGGCCATCTGGTCCACCAGCATTTCTCAGATTTCTATCCAGGCCTCAGCTGTCTTTAAAGACAGATGACTTGGCCACCTGTAGGAAACTGTGCCCACATTTAGAATACTTTTTAGCCTACTTATGGTCAAAGAGATTATAGCTATTGCTCCCTCCTTGCCTCTGTGGCCACTTGACCACGGAAGGAAATTAATTGGCCTAGCATGATTCGCCTTTTGAAAAGTCACATTGGTTTCCACCCAATACTTTGTGCTTTTCAAGTTGATGCTAATTGATTGATGTTAAGTTCTATATTTTCCCAGATATTGAAGTTAAGCTGACAGGTCTATAATTACCGGGATTGTCCTTTTTCCCTTTTTAAAAAGATGAGCACTTCATTTACCCTTTTTCAGTCTACAGGGACTTTCCTTATCCTCTTGAGTTCTCAAAAATAATCGCTAGCAGCTATGTAATAACACCTGCCAGCTCCTTAAGTACTCTTCGAAGTATGTCATCAGGCCCTGCTGCTTTGCCTACAGCCGGCTTTTCAAAATACTTTTTAACCATTTTATTCTCTCTTCTAGTTTGTGCTCTCTTCTGTCTC